GGTCTGAACCAGACATTTTGTGCCTCACTGAAGAGCCACTTTCTGCATGTAGCACAAGATTTACTTTTTTGTGTGATGTAGTGTCCATGTCATTCTCTGCCTAAAGGTAATCCAATAACCGGGCATGATGGGATGTTCTAGGAGGGAAGTGGCACCCTTAAGATGTTTGACCTGATAATGATGGCACATTACACTCTGGTTTATAAGTTATAACTAATCTATTTGCAATCAAGTCAGTTTAAAACTGATTGCTTTGCCAGGTGTTATAGTAAAAAAAAATTTTTCCACATAGCAACTCTTAAAGAATCTCAAACAACTTCATAAAAATAGGTGCTATGACCAGTTTGTTTTCAATAGGTTGAAGGTAGTGGAAAGTTCAGTACAACATTTATAAAGGTTACTGTCCTCTCCTCCAACATATTGGTTGACCTTTCCCCTTTTGCTGATGCTGATGATGTCATTCGATTATGCCAGGTTGCACCATGCCCTCTAGCACTTCTTATCAGAATTTTATAAATGAGTCTTTCATTTTCCAAACTACATAAAGACTATGTAGTTTATTGGGTTTGATTGCATTGGTGGCATGACTCAGCAGAAAATAATTTTAGTTTGCTTTTTCATAGAAAGTTTTTTCTTCTTAAAAATGTTTTAATATTTGATCTAATTTCACATACTTTCTTTCTAACATGTGTACTTCATTAGTATGGAAGAGACTATGGGAGCTTACCAAGGGCTATCAGATCATATTAAACTTTAATTTCTAATTTTAAAGCATCAACATTGCAAACAGTCTCCCTTGATGGGCTTTATTAATCCATGCCACTTGATCTTTTTTCAAAGATAGATATTCCGATTTTATTTCAAAGAGCATTTCTCTGTCTTTATCATTAAGATTGCCAATTTTCATGGATCCAACTTTTTAAATTTAGATCATAAGAAGAAACAAACTCTGGGAAACACTATTTAAAGCCCAAACCTTAACATAAAAACAAAACTGTTATATTTGCCTTTTGTGCCAATAGGATGAAACTGAATACTATGTAGGAAAATACTGATGCAATTGAATGCAGTACAATTTCATCTAATTGGTTGATTTAATTAAGTTCAATCATGTTTATTGAAGGCTATTGTATGACAGGCACTGTGCTAGGCACTGAAGGCATACAGAGAGCAGTAAGATGCAGCACTAGCCTTCGGAAAGTGTGTAATCTGCTCAGAACACTGAAATGTACACACAAGGCCAAAGGCCATTATCCCGGGAGACAGGACCAGAGTACTAAATGTATGCAGATGGAAGAAAGAGCAGGCAAATCTGGTTCAGGGGATCAGAGAAGATTTCCTTCTCCTGGAAAGATAACATTTTCTAGTCCATGAAGGATCTTGTATTAAATTTATATCTCTCCTGTGAAACTGAATTGCCCAAGCTACATTCACCTGTGGGCCAAATTGGGGTCACATTCACCTAATTTGTTTCCTTTTACTGGTTTGTGCTCTAAGCACAAGCAGCCCAATCTACTTACACTACAGTTTCACCCTGTACTTGAACACCTTCACCACTGAATTGACATGAGGAATCTATACTAATAAAAGGGTAATATGCAAATTGGTTAGGACACCCTCACAATAATGACCAAACAGCAGGCTGTGTGGGGCGACCAGGCTGGCAGAGGGGGTTAGTTAGTGAGGGACAACCAAATGACTGAACTGCAGGCTGCATAGGGTGACCAGGCTGGCAGGGGAGGGTGGGGGGGGCAGTGAGGGACGACCAGGCCAGCAGAGTGGGGAAGGGAGGGGTGACCAGGCCGATTTAAGGATGTCTGACTGCTGATTTAGGCCCAATTCCCAGGCCTGCCTGATCACCCCTAACAGCTCCCCTGATGGCCTGGTCACCCCCAACTGCTCACTCTGCTTGCCTGGCCACTCCTAACTCCCCTTCCCCACACACACACACACCAGCCTGGTTGCCCTCACTGCCTCCCCTGCTGGCCTGGTTGCCCCATGCAGCCTGCTGTTTGGTCCTTTGGTCCCCCCTCAGTGCCCTCCCTGCCAATCTGGGTGGCTCATGCAACCTGCTGCTCAGTCATTTGGTTGTCCCTCATTAACCTCCCTGCTGGCCTGGTCACCCCAGGCAGCCTTGTTTGTTGTCCATTTGGTTGTTTCGATTGCAACAGTTGCTTAGGTTTTTATATATATAGATTAGCAGTCCAGTGCACCAATTTAGGGCTGGGCCTATTGGGAAAAGGAGATGACTGGATGTTAACTGGCCAGCCCATTCCAATCACCAATCAGGGCCTGGCCACCTGTGAGGAGGGGCTGCGGGCGATTGGCAGGTAGGCCCTCCTCCCAATTAGAATTGGGGGACTAATTGGGGGTGGGGCCGGACATGGGGAGGAGCTATAGATGGTGGGCTGGCCAATCCCACCCCCAAATGGGTGGGGGTGCTGATTAGGGCCAGTGGCCTGGGAGTGGGGCCATGAGTGATTGGCCAGTGGCCCTGCTCCTGATTGGGGTGTGGGGTGCGATCTGGAGTGGGGCCAGATGGGGAGGGGCTGCAGGAGGTTGGCCAATGGGACATCCCCTATTGGGGTGGGAGAGTTCGGTAGTGGGCAGTACTTATTAAAGGATACTTTTAAGAACAGTAACTGGGGAGAATGGGAAAAGAGCAAGTTTGAGCAGAGGAATAAGTAAAGCTGCAATGAAGGCCAGGGATCAGCCTCAGTCAGGCGTCTTCAAACTACTGCCCCCGGGCCACATGCGGCCCACAGAGGAGTCTGATCCGGCCCGCCAGGTTTTTTGGGCAGTGAGCGCAGCCGAGGTGTTACAGTAGGAATTAGTAGTTCATATAGTCCGGCCCTCCAGCTCTCTGAGGGACCGTGATCTGGCCCCCACTTTAAAAAGTTTGAGGACGCCTGCGAGAGAGTTCTTGAATCAATGGGGAAAAATGAAGACATATGTACCTGATCAGGTGGTTCGCTGGCCATAGTGTGAGTCATAGCAACCTGCTGTTACAGTCGTTATGATGTTATGGTTGCTCATTATTCATGGAAGAACTATTATTATTTTATACTTGTACTGCAAATCTCATCAAAAAGAATTGACTAATGACTCATTTTGTGAGAGAAGTAAAGTAAAAAGAGATAGTTTGCAATCTTGCTCCCATCCCTCCTCCAGACAAATCCCATTTTATATCCATAAGTTGAGGAATGATGGAAGAAAGAGTAGGGAGAAAGATGAATTTCTCCTTTGGCTCTGTACACTTCAAGTAACAAGGTATTTTGCATCTGTTTTTTCTTGAGACTTTGCTAGTCTATTATGCAACTGCATATTTATACCTCTTCACTGAATAAAAACAAGGGCAATGGCTGTTGCACCAACAAAATCTCATAGATAGACATATGGGATAAGCTGCCAAAATTTTGCTGTACTTATTTCCAGGTATCTGTCTTCCAGAACATTCCATCAGTAATTAGAGCATAACACTCAGCTAGGTAAATATAGGTTTCTAAACACTCTCTATAATTAAAAGACAGACAACAAGAAAGTTGTCCTCTATAACCTATACCTCTCTATACCTACTTTTTACGAGTGCATAATCTTGATGAGACTGGCTGACATACTGATGCATAGTTTGCTGTTTAGAATAAATTCATTTGGTTAACTGTCAATCTTGCCACTGAAAAGGGTAATTATTTGTAAAAACAAAATGAGAAAAGTTCTGATTATATTCATTATGTTCTCTTGTTGGAAACAGATGTTACCAGGAAGTTAAAAATCCCTTTGCTTTTAATTAAACTTTATATTTTTGAGATATCGAGAGTTCCATGCACACTTGTAAGAAATAATACAGAGAGATCCTGTGTGTTCTTCCCTCACTTTCTCCCAGGGTAACATTTTGCAAACTTGAGTGGAGTATAATATTACAACAGCCAGTATATTGATATTGATATACTCATGAGATAATCTAATCCTATTCAGATTTTCCAAGTCTTACATCTAGTGTGTGTGTGTGTGTGTGTGTGTGTGTGGGTGGGTGTGAGTGTGAGAGAGAGAGAGAGAGAGAGATGTGTGTAGTGTATTTATTTCTATGCAGTTTTATCATGCTTATGTTCTTATAGCCACCACAGTCAAGATACAGAATTGTTCCATCTCCACAAGGGTCCCTCATATTGCCCTTTTATAACCAAAACCACCTCCCTAACCTCCATCTTTAATTCATAACAAATACCAAAATGTTCTTTATTTTTATAATTTTGTCATATCAAGAAGGCTATATATATGGACACATACAGGTAAGTAATTTTTTAAAATATATATATTTTATTGATTTTTTACAGGGAGAGGGACAGAGAGCTAGAAACATTGATGAGAGAGAATCATCGACCAACTGCCTCCTGCACAACCCTACTGGGGATATGCTCACAACCAATGTACATGCCCTTGACAGGAATCGAACCTGGGACCCTTCAGTCTGTAGGCTGACGCTCTATACACTGAGCCAAACTGGTTTCGGCATTAGTAATTTTGAAATGTGTCCAATTTATTATGTCTATCAGTAATTTTTATTGAATTTCTGCTGAGGAGTAATTCAATAATACAGGTATACCTCCATCTACTTAACAGTCAGCTGTTGCAAGACTTCTGGGATGTTTCCAGTTTTTGTGAATTATTAATAAAGTTGCTGTTTCCAGTTTCTATAATTCTAGTGAAGCTGCTGTGAACAGTCTTACATAGGTTTTTTGTATGAATATAGGTTTTCATTTCCCTGAGATAGACGCCCAATAGTGCAATCTCTGGGTTGTATGGCAATTGCATGCTCAGATCTATAAGAAACTGTCAAACTGTTTTCCAAAGTAACTGTACCATTTTATATTCCCACCAACAAATGAGTTTTCTACCTTTTTTTTTTTTTACATCATATTAGTCTGTGCAAGTGACAAAATTAGTAAACAAATACATGACCCATGAAAAAAACAGCTCGTAAAGTGTCAATTCACAAAAGTCCAAAGGGTAAAAAGGCAGGTGCTAGATAAAACAAAGCTGCCTCGAGCAACGGCCTCTCTCTGCCTTGCCTCAGCTCCTAACACTTATTACAGGTAAGCTCCATATTCATAGAAAGTTCCAATGTGCCCTAAAGCTTTTCTTTGGTGTAAATTAAAATAAACAAATCTTTATTTTTTCCAAAACAGGATCATGGCCTCTAAAATGCTTCAAGTGGCTCTGTGTTCAACTTTGCTTATAGGTAAGAACTATTTGTTTCTATTTGTGTCTTACAACTACTAGGTTAATAGATAAACCCTTTTGACTTTTTTAAAGACATGAATAAACAGGCTTTATTCATAGACCAATTCTAAAGCATTGAGGAAAGCAAACTATGTGTTTTTGAATACATTATTGTTAATTGTGTGTGTGTGTGTGTGTGTGAGAGAGAGAGAGAGAGAGAGAGAGAGAGAGAGAGAGATCATTATATTCCTAATTATGTGTTAACATAGTAACATGTTACTGTTGCTAAGAAATCTATTTAACAAAAAAGTGCTCTGGTGTCCTTGAGCAAAGAAGAAATTTAAATGCCTTTTAGAAACTGTAATACTTACATAGTACTATTATGTTGGGACCTCAAGGTACTTTGAGAATATGAATTCACTAACCTTTAGGGCAAGCAGTAGCTCAGAGAGATGCTGTTTTAAAGGCAGATCAAGGAAGGCACTAGAGGCCAGATAATTTGCTGCCAAATTGGCCCAGTAATTCAGTGGCTTATATCTGAATTTAACTGAGAGATCTTTTGTTTTTCTTGTAACCAAAACTGAAGATACTCACAAAGGTATAAGTTATTCTCACAGTTAAATATATGAAATTTATAAATACTCTGAGGTAGATGCTTAAATCAGAATAAATTTCTACTTTTATAATATGCCTCTGAGAATCATGTAAAAATTATATACTCTGCTTGAGGTACACACACACACACACACAAATAGATATATATCTATATCTAAGTCATTTTTTGTATTTCATTTGTTTTTTGCATTATATTTTAATTTTATTTTTCAATTAAAGTCTACACTGAATGTTATTTCATTTTAATTTCATGTGTACAGCATAATGGTTAGCCAATCATATACTTTATAAGTAATCTCCTGATATTTCAAGTGCCTACCTGACATCATACATAGGTATTACAATATTACTGTCTATGATTCTTATGCTGTACTTTACATCTCCATGACTATTTTATAACTAACAATTTGTACTTCTTTTCTTTTAAAGCAAAGTGGGATTTGTTGAAGATATACTACAAACAAGGAGTAGGCCAGTCCAGAGAGAAAGTGGCCTCAAACTCCTGGGTTATACAGTTTAAAAAAGGGATTTTTCTGGGTGGAGACTTTCATTTGCATTCAGGGATGATTGATATAAAAGGGTTACATAACTATATTTCTTCTGCATATGTCCTTACCCACCATAATGCATACAGAAAAAACTCCAATTTATATTTCTTAATATCTTCATTTTTTCACCCAGTCCTCCAACCCCTCTCCCTTGTGGCAACCATCAGTCTGTTCTCAGTACCTAAGCATTTGTTTCTATTTTATTTGTTTATGTTGCCCTTTAGATTTCACATATAAGTGAAATCATATGATATTTATCTTTTTCTGTCTGGCTTATTTCACTCGGCATAATTTCACTCTAGGTCCATTCATGCTGTTGCAAGTGGTAGATCTCATTCTTTTTTATGGCTAAATAATATTCCACTTTATATCTGTTCCACCACTTTTTTATCCATTTGTCTATTAATGGGCTCTTGGGTCGCTTCCATATCTTGGCTACTGTAAATAACACTGCAAGTAACAGAAGGGTGCATATATATTTTTTGAACCAGTTGGGTTTCTTCAAATATATACCCCAAAGTGAAATTGCTGAGTCATAAGGCAGTTCCATTTTTAACTTTCTGGAGAATCTTTACACTGTTTGCCACAGTGGCTGCACCATTCTGTATTCCCACCAACTGTGCACTATATCTAGACTAGGGGTGTCGAACTCAATCAGAGAAGGGGCCAAAATCTAAAATCCAGCCTAAATTGCCGGCCGAATGGTTTACTGAACAGTCATAAACTGTCAGTGTGATGGAAACGCAGCGGAGTGCAGTGATGACAGCGTGGTGCGGGCCACATTGCAAGGCCTGGCGGGACGGATTTGGCCCACGGGCCTTGTGTTTGACACATGTGATCTAGACTATTAATCTAGGTATATATGAGAATACATAATTAGCCTTTTATTCCTAAGCTTGTGAATAATTTTGTTAACTTAAGAAACATTCAAACCTGTAAATAATTTTTGTGAGTTCATTTGAGCTAAACTGTCTACAATTTCTGGGAAACAGAATCTCAATGTATTGGCATAATGCTCTGAAAAATGGATGGTTTTCACCCATTTTTACAAATTACCATCAAAGGAGGAGACATAGGAGGAGACATGGGTGGGTTACATGAAATCCACTGGTGATAGATTAGGAAGGTGGGAGAAAGCAAAACCAAGGATATGTCTGAGATTGGATAAAAAGTAAAATGATAGATACATGCTTCTTTTACATAGATGGGTAGAGGATAACTAACAGTCAACAATTAACACAATAACAATGAGGGAATTTGTGGCCTGTGGCCTGTGCCCTGGTGTATTGGTTGTGCCCTGAAAGTTTCAGAAAAGGGGAAATTACAAGTTACCCTGACATTCCAAAGGTATGTTATCATTGATGCAAAAAGACAACAGTCTCGGTTAAGATCAAAGTTTATCTTTCTCAGGGAAGATACCTGCCTAGGAAATGACTGCCCACCATAACTGCTTTTAGTTAAAGTTTTAATTTCAGACTGTCCTTTGTGGTTACTTTAGGTCTTTGAGTTTGCAAGAGTGCCATGCAGGCTTCCCTGAGTTAGTCAGGTTAGCATGTGGCCCCTTTTCGTCCACAATTTTAGTAAAGAGGTCTTTTTAATCCTCACCTGAGGATATGTTTTTATTAATTTTAGAGAGAAAGGAAAAAAGAGGAAGAGAAAAGAGAGAGAGAGAGAGAGAGAGAGAGAGAGAGAGAGAGAGAGAGAGAGAGATTAATTGGTTGCCTCCTGTACATGCCCCACCTACTGCACTCTGATCTACATCGAACCCAGGCAGGGCTTCATAAAGAGTTTTAATCATCAATATTGCACTTTGTATTTGAGACATGTTTAATTAAATTATTTATAATTTTTGATTGATTATGGTCTCACATAATTGTCCTTATTCCCCCATTCCCATCCCAAAACCCTCCCTAGATATGCCCCCCCTCCCCCCTCTCAACCCCCGTTGTCCATGGCCACTGGCTAGGCCCATATGTAAGCACACAAGTCCTTTGGTTGATCTCTTCCCCTTACCCCCATCCTCCCTTATTTTCCCTCTGAAGTTTGAGAGTCTGATCACTGGTTCTATTTCTCAGGGTCTGTTTATGTTGTTCATTATTTCCTCTAGATGTGTGAGATCATGTGATTTAAGAAATGCCCTTGTAAGAACCTAAACTGCAACAAGCCATAATGGTTATGCTGAGAGGCAAATGGATCAGTCTGTAGTGAGTTCCTTTCTGGGCCAACAGTTCTTTTGAGTCCCAATTTCAATGCCAGATAGTTCCTTATGTGTACATGCCAGCCATGATATTTCAGATCTGGTTGGTGGACAAATGGTGGTAATGTAGGTCCACCCGTCTGTGGTTTATAAATTTTTAACCACATTAATATAAAGCAATTATCATCACACCAAGTTACAGTCTATATCTCCGGATGAGAAAAGTGAGTTTGGCTCAGTTTGAATGAGTGAGGAGCACACTGCAAACTGAAGCCATGGGCTAGTTATAATCCATCAGTATAATGCTTTGCCTTGACTGCTCATCCATGCAATTGACTTTAGAGTGGGTGACAGTGGATAACTGCAAGGCTAAAAGCACTACATCTGGTCCACATTCCCCTGTGAACACTACAGGGTCAAAAATATCTGGCAAAGGGAAAATGGTTCTGCAAAAGTGATTTTTGTGCACTTAGAAGTTGGAATTAACTTTAACCCCAGCTGAGATACAAATATGTCTACCTATAAAGAAACTACTTTGACTCACTTCACTTAATAGTGAATAAATGAATGAATGACTGAGTTTATGTCATTGAAGATACAAGCTGAGATCAGAAATTAAGGACAGAGGACTGTTGACACTGCAAGTGCCTTTCAGATCTCAGGAAAGAAGCCTTTATTGCTTGCAGGAAGAGACTGAAGTCTTAGAATCCAGTTCATTTGTTAAACTAGTAACTAATTTAACCAACATTTTCTAAATTGTACACCACTGAAGTAGGAAAATATTAGCTTGAATCAACTTTCTTTACTACTACGTACTCCCTCCCTTTTTTATATAAGAATGTAGCCTATTCATCTATTCCTCCCTGGAGCCCTTCTGCTTATCATAAGAAAACAACAATTTAAAAATTTTGTTTGTTTCTGTTATTTAAAAAAGTTTTCTCTGTTACAGATTAGTTGTCTAACAAATTACTCTTATCTGGAACTTAATTTAAAGTAAATAGGGAAAAGATCTCATTATCTATTTTCCTAATGGGATTGCTGAAGCTAAAAATGATAGTCTTATTCAAGTAATTACACTTCTGGGCAAAGTCCCCAAATTATTTTATTGATTTTCTCAAAATAGTAACTTACACATTGGAGATGATTCCCTAGTCAGAGAATTAGAAGTCAAGTGTCATAATTTTATTACAAAACAAAGCAACTCTTTCTTTAGCATTTAGGTCAAAATTGTTCTCTTCTATAATAAATCAACAAATATTGCTACTTTAAGCCTTTATTATATGTTACCTTAATTCAATTCTCAGAATCACTCTGCAAATAGATGTTATGATTCCCGTTACACAAAAATAAAACTGAGACTTAGACAAGATAAATGACCAAACTACACGGTTATTCAATAGGATGATAATTCACATACAAATTCTACATCCAGGTCTTTTGAGAACAAAACTCTTCTTTTTACAAACTGTCCCCTCTGGCACTACAGTGCTAGATATGGGCTATGCAGAGATGGGAGAGGCAGCAGAGCACACAGCAAGATCTCCTCCTGGAAAAGAAATAGAGCCAGTATTATAGCCATTGATTCCACAAGTAAAGGTCCGGAGTTAGGGAGCTGGGTGACTTTATCTGAGGAAATAGCCAGACCAGGAAATAACCAAA